CGTATCTGGGATTTGGTTATACCTTCCTTTTCTTATCTATTCTTATTCTTTTCTTTCTTTGTCTAATATCTTCATTGTTGTTGTTATTACGTTTCTAATGCATTAATACCATTCATTTGTTATATCATCCATTAAGTATTTTAGTTATTATTATCATTGTTTCTCAAGATTATGAATATCAATTACTATTATTATTATCTACTGCTCGTTATTATCATTATCATTACTATCATATCATTATTATCATTTTTGTTATTATCATCATTATCATATTTCTCTCTACATATTTTCTTTTAGAAATATTTTACATATATCTTTCCCTTATTGCGTTTTTTTGTTTGTTTGTTGTTTCTTTGTTTGTTTATTTACAAGGTAACATTTTCTTCTTTCAGTAAAAAAAAAACAATATTTTTTTTTCCTCTAATATGGCTGAGATTTTTATCCTTTTTTTTTTTTTTAGAAAACTTTTATTCTAAAACCTTGAAATAGTTTTTTGAGACGCTTGAGAAATATGATTTGAATATAAAAGAAAAAAGATCTTAATTTCGTTTTCAATTTTCATCCTTTTAAATACATTTTCTTTTTTCTTTTACTTGAAAAATATTTAGGTATTAACCTAACATATATATATTATATATATATATATATAATATATGTATATATATATATATATATATAATATATATATATATATATAATATATATATATATTATATAGTATATATAGTAATCTGGTGTATATATATATATATATATTATATATATATATATATATATATATTAATATGTATATAAATTATTATTATATATTATATCTATATATATATTATATATCCTATCTAGCTAAAATATCCCATCTTATTGTCCTGCTCCTCTTCTCTTCTCCTCTTCTTCCTTCTCCTCTCCCCGTCTCTCTCTTTCTCTCTCTCTCTCCTCTTTCTCTCTCTATCTCTCTATCTTATCTAATTCTATCTATTTATCTATTATCTATCTATCTGTCTATACATTTCCTCCTTTCCTCTCCGCTCCCGCATGCAAAGAAAACACCACATATTCCGGCAAAAGGAAATGAAATATTGAAAGTGACAAGCGAAAAACAATGACAAAAAGGAAAAGAGGAAAAACAGAGACAAAAAAAAAAAAAAAAAAAAAAAACTGACAATATTATGCAAAATGAAGTTCTTGGAAAAGAAATGAAAGAAATGGAGAATCAATTTTACTTTCATGGAATGTGTTGGGAGGAAAGATAGAGAGAGAAAGAATACTTGCTTGCCTCTTCTCCTCCTCCTCCTCCTCTTCCCATTCTCCTCTCTCTCCTCCTCCTCTAGCTGCCTCATTCTTCCTCACCTCCTCCTTCTCCTTCCCATCATCCTCCAAGTCATCCTCTCCTCCTCCTCCTCTTCTTCGCTCCTCCCTCCTCCTTCCTCCTATCCTCCTCCTTCCTCCTCATCCTCCTCCTCCTCTCTCCTCCCTACCCTCTTTCCTCCCCTCCTCCCTACCTCTCTCCTCCTCTCTCCCATCCTCCTCCTCCTCCTCTCCCTCCTCCTCCTCTCCTTCTCCTCCTCCTTCTCCTCCTCTCTCCTACGCCGGCTCCTCAAGCGCCTCCTCCTCTCCGGTGCACCTCTCCTGAACTCCTTGGTCACGATCACAAAAAAAAAGAAAATATAGAAAAAAAAATACAAAAAGAAAAAGAAAGAGAAAAACGTAAGAACGAAATAAAAAGAAAGAAAATGAAGAAATAAAATGTTTGGGAAAGAAGAAGTGGGGAAAAAAGAAAAAGATTTGGAAGTAAATAAAAGAATGATGAAGGACGTGAAAAAGGAACCAAAACAGAAAAAAGAAAAAAAGTAAAGTAACAAGAAAAGAAATGGAAAATAATATGATGCAAAAGAAGAAGGAAAGAGAAAAAAATTGTAAGGAATTTTAAAAAAACGATGAAGGACAAATGGTAGATATAAAGAGAGACAATACATGGATAAATGCATAGATAGATAAATAGATAAACAGAGAAAGACACAGAAAGAGAGACAGAGACAGAAAAAAAGACAAAGAATACAAACATACACACACACACGACAGATAGATAGACAAACAAATATACGCCGAAAAAAATAAAGAAAGAGAGAAGAAAAGAGGAGAACAACAAACCAAGAGTAAAGAGGAAGGGGGGAGGGGGGGAGGGGGACCTGAACCTCAAACGGGCTATCTCTTTGTCATCAAAGTTTCAGGCAAGAGAAGAGAGAGAGAAAAGAAACAAACGAAAGACTAAAATACACGAAGAAGATAGATAACAGAGGCAGAGAGAGAGAGAACAAAAAATAGACGAGAAAATAGATAACAAGAGGTAGAGAGAGAGAGAGAGAGAGAGAGAGAGAAGAGAGAGAGAGAGAGAGAGAGAGAGAGAGAGAGAGAGAGAGAGAGAGAGAGAGAGAGAGAGACAAGAAACAAACGAAAGATAAAAAATATCCGAGAAAATAGACAACAAATAATAAGGAGAGAAAGACAAAAATAAGACAAAACACTTTTCCGAAAGAAAAAAAGAAGAATGGATAAAAGACAAAAAAGAAAAGAAAATTAAAATAAACTCTCACAGGGAAAAAAAAAAAAAAAAAAAAAAAAAAAAGAAAAAGGTAAAAATATATATATATATGCCCAAGGTGAGAGAGCGTGTGAGTGTGAGGTGTGAGGTAGGTGAGGAGTGAGGGTTAGTTGTGGAAAATGAGGAACGCCCGAGGCAGACCTGAGGGGAGGAACGTAATTAAACCAGTGAGGGAAAAAGGGGGAGAGGGAGGGAGAGAAAAGGGGAGAGAGAGAGGAGGGAGAGAGGGGAGAGAGAGAGAGAGAGAGGGAGAGAGAGAGAGAGAGAGGGGAGAGAAAGAGAGAGAGGGAGAGAAAGGGAGAGAGAGGGGAGAGGAGAGGGGTAGAAAAAGGGAGAGAGAGGGAGAGAAAGAGAGAGAGGGGAGAGAAAGGGAGAGGAGAGAAAGGGAGAGGAGAAGAAAAGGGAGAGAGTAAGGAAAGAGGGAAAGGATGAAAGGAGAGAGAGAGCACAA